CTATGTCTAGTAGGAGTTGGGCCGAATACTCGCGGCTTACCCGAGGTTAGAGGCGTACATTGTCGAAGGATAGGAAAAGGAAGGAGCTTAAGGGTAGGGTTTCGTTGTCTCATTAGAGCGATGTCGCCAGTATGAACGGTAGTAGAACGGTCGTCTGCTGTTCGACCATTCGCAGGATTGGCTTTACTCCGTTGGTTTTCGAATGAGCCAACATTAATCTCACCGGCGGGCAACCCATCGACGCTAGACCTGTTCCTGACAAATACCGGCTTGTCCAAGACGGTAGCCTTGAACGAACTCAGCTCCGACCACGGTGGTGGCTGAACTGGGCTACGACGTGGCCCCTGCTCCAACTCTGCACAAGGACTACCACCGCGTAAACTGGGCCCAGTTTGGACGCGTGGTAGACAGGCACATAATCGACAACCCGCCGCTTGACTCCGTGGAGGACATCGACCGAGCGTTGGAGGGACTCCACCAAGCCATTACCTTCTGGGAAAAAAAAAACGTGAAATGGCCGATCTGAACAGGCAGATTGCTTCCAGAATGGACTCACTCCGAAATGAAAGTTTTGGGCGTGTTGTCCAGAATCTAGACGACCGCTCCAGACCATTCTGCAAGGTCCTGAAAACTCATCCCAACTCATCGGTGAGTATGTCGCTTCATCGCATTCGCTTGGCTCGAATATCCAAAATCCGCTCGAAGATAAGGTTCCTCCCCTTGTGTCGTGCCTCTGGCGGATATGATTACAGTACAACAAATTTGCTCAGCGCTGAAATGCACCAAGAACATGAAGGCTCCCGGGTTTGACGGTATATTCAACTTGATCTTGAAGAGACTCAGCATGAAAGTGCAGTCTCTTCTAACCGCTATCTTCAATAGATGCTTGGAACTGCACTTCTTTCCAAGCATCTGGAAAGTAGCAAAAATCATACCAATCCGCAAGCCCGGTAAGGATCATACATTGCCTCCAAGCTACAGACCAATCAGCCTCCTTTCAGCGCTGGCCGTTTGTTCGAGAAACTCATTCTCAATTGTTTGCCAAGTTTGTCGAGGAAAACAACTTTCTCCTTCCGGAACAGTTTGGGTTCAGAAAGGGTGGGTGATGAATAACATCCGAAGTAACAAAGCTGTATCCAAGTTCACAGCCATGGCCTTGTTAGACGTTGAATTTTATTTTTTTTTTTTTTTTCCTGTATTATAGAGATTTTTAGCCATAGGCTAGTTCATCTCTTAAGACGTTGAAAAGGCGTTTGATAATGTCTGGCACAATGGGCTTGTATACAAGCTTTGTAACTTCAACTTTCCATTACATCTGGTTAAAATCACCCGTAACTACCTCCAGCAAAGGTCGTTTAAGGTATCGTTGAATGGTTGTCTTTCACACATTTTCCATCCTAGCAGGAGTCCCGCAAGGCAGTCTGCTGGGCCCCTTGCTTTACAGCATTTACACTTCCGACATTCCTCCCCTCGGTGACGGTTGCGTGTTGTTCCTGTTTGCAGATGATACCGCAATAGCCGTCAAAGGAAGGATGCCTCGCGGAAAAAAGAAAAAATTTCAACGATGCCTTAATGCCTTTGCTGATTATGCCACCACGTGGAACATTAAAATCAATCCCTCCAAAACACAAGCGATCATGTTCCTCCATCGGCAATCGCCCAAACTGAATCTGGCTCCATCTTGTACTGTAATCATGGATGACACAAGGGTTGAGTGGTCTGCCGAAGTAACTATCTCGGGATGTTGTTTGATGAAAAGCTCCTCTTCCGTTCGCATGTAGAGAAAACTGTAGTCAAGTGTTCCGCCTTGGTTAGGTGTCTATATCCGCTGATTGCCGCAGATCCCACCTCTCAAGGGTTAACAAACTGACTGTCTGCAAACAAATCATAGCACCTGCGATCCTCTACGCAATTCCGGTGTGGGAATCATGTGCAAAGACTCACAGGAACAAAATCCAGGTCGCTCAGAATAGAGTGCTGAGGATAGTACTTGATCGTCCTTTCGACACTAGAATAGCAATTTTACACGAAGAGGCAGGCATTTCCAAAATAGATTCCAGAATTAACGAAATTAACACTAAATTTTCACAAACACCTCAGAACATGCTTTGATAAGCAATTTGTATATAGTAGATTAGATGTATATAGTAGTTGTAGGTTAGTTGTAGTTGTAAATAGTAGTTATAAGTAGTTTTCTTCTTCACTTTGAAACAAACCAATCCCACCAAGGTGGTCATTCTCTAAAACAGGCCTGATAGGACTAGGAACTGTAATTAATAATAATTGAAATTCAAAAGAACTAAAGTTGAAAAAACGCATCTTGATAAATTATACATGTAAACCACACCAATTTAAGAAATAAAGATTATTAAAGTCAAAAAAAAAGTATGAACAGTAGTGTGGCTCTAGATTCGTCTGAAGTTCGAGCGGTTATGGTGACCAGTGGGTGACGATGAGACTCATCCAGACGGGGGACAAGACAAACAAAAACTAATAAAGAGATGCAAAAGACAAACGAATTAAATTATTATACTAGACATTTGAAGGAAGACATAAATCGACTGCATATACCGGAGATCGCGGGTACCAACACGTCTCTGATAGGGATATATAGTTGTCTTCCTTGGGCCTCAAGGGTATTTAAAAGTCGCTCTCTGGCGGCGTCTCTATCCGTACATTGCCAAACTCACGTTATTACTTTGTTTTTCCTTTTAATTCTACTACCATTGTATCACTTTCATTTTCTCCAATTCACTTTCACTTTCACTAATTCATTAATTCACTTTCACTTTCACTAATTCTCTTTCACTTTTAACTTTCACTATAACTTTTGATAAAATCTATAACAGATACGTATTTTGTTTACTACTTGTAAACTTCTTCGGTGTTTAGCCATAGACACTGAAGAAGTTTGCAAGTAGTAAACGAAATACGTATCTGTTATAGTTTTTATCAAAAGTGATAGTGAAAATAAAAAGTGGAAGAGAATTAGTGAAAGTGAATAAATTAAATAATTAGTGAAAGTGAAAGTGAATTAGTGAAACTATAAGTGAATTAGAGAATGTGAAAGTGATACAATAGTAGAAGAATTAAAAGGAAAAAGAACATAGTAAGGTAAACATAAGTTCATTTATCTACGATGAAATAACTGCGAAGGAATTTTTTGTTAAACTTATTTTAATCACTTTTGAAAAGGGCGTATTTTTACTGAAAATTTATCTTAAATGACCTACAAAAGCGGATAGCACCTAAGTTACCCGGCAAAAATGTGCGATATAGAATTTAATAAAGATTTTAGAACATACTGTTTACGAGAAATCACATTGTTTCTCTTAAAAAAATGATTTTTTAGGAGACACCCTGCATTACACATTAAAAGCATATATAAATAGTGAACCTTTAGAGATAATAAGCTGCTTCATTGAGCAAAGTTGCTTCAAATGAGTTGTTCTATAACTTTGTTGAACATTACATCTATAGAATTCCTTGATTTGTTGTCCGTTGATCTTGTTTTCCGTGCTGAGCACCAATGCTCCCACACCTGGACCCTACCTATCGACCCATCAACTCATGAACCGGGGACCAACGGCTTAACTTCCCAGCGGTGCCAACTGGGATTGAACCCAGGCCTGCTGGGGTTAAAGGTAATCACGCTTACCACTACATCACCGGCGACGCTGTCTTTTCGAATTGTTTCAGTAGACTGTACAGTATGCATTTACAAAAAGAATAATGTTTTTACGTACCACTTGAAACTTTTTGTGTTCAAAAAGGTTCAAAATATGATGAGTAATAAGTAACGTAAAACGGGGTAACTTTGATAGTTTTTTGAAGTACATTCTAAATATTTTTTACAACAATGATTGTTTTTCAAATTTTTATTTTTTAAAACAATACTGGGGATCCTAGAGTCAATTCGTAGGCAACATGTTTACCAGGAATTATTGCACTATTTTTATTGTCCTATGACGGAACATCAGATTTTCGTTTCGGGGTTACTATGATAACACTCGATGAAATTAGAAAACCATGCGAGAATCGCAAACAATTTTGATCAAAAAATAAGAAACTTGGAATGAGTATATAACCAGAAACATCATAAGCAATAAAAAAATCAATATTGAATTTGTCATGGCTACATAGGAAAAACATTTAAAAAGTGATTGTTTGAGTGCCTTTTCAATCAGGCGAACAATAAGAAAACATAATTTTGGACGTATTTGGAAAATATGTAAAACATACTGCAAAAAACTCTACACGATATCAAAGGTAATACCGTAAGCTACAAAATGGAACCAATATTTCCGATTCGGAAATAGTGTTGAGTGTGAATTTAATCATTATATTCTACTATCTACTTTACGGTACTTTAAATTAGACTTAAAGTTTTGATTTTTAGACATACAATTGATGATTTTTCAGCTGAGTCAGCAACGTTAAAAGTGCTGTCAAAATTCAAAACCTAATCCATCATCCTTATTAAAAAAACGTTTATCAATGGGCGATAAAGCTAGAACAAATATAAAATATCAAAAATAAAACATTATTTTTATGGGTTTTGTCCGGCTGCCAGCCACTGTTCAGCCTATTGGTTAGGATCCATACCTCTTACGCCAAAGTCACGAGTTTAAATCTCATCCCCGGACAACTCACGAATACGAAGTAACTATAATGACAAAATCATAGCAATTGCAGTGAATAAAGGGAAATCAAAGAGCAGACTACATGACGCTGCACCATGTATTATTTTCTGTAAATTAGATATTAAATGCTTTAGAATCAACCAAATTCCACCGATGAACAATCAGTTTCAACAGCAAACGATGACATTCTGATTCACCATAAAACATTCCAAACCCTATCAGATATTTTGCAGCTAGAATCCAGACAAATAAATCAACCAACTCTGTGGAATGGGCATTTCTCAACTATCTATTCCAGTAACTAAAACGAGTAGAGTTTATTTCATAGAATTTACTTTGCGCACATGAATGCGTGGCCAGGCCCCGGAATACCTATCCTATTTTTGTTCAATAAATTTCAAATTTATACCTCTAATTTATGTACAGTATTTATCTCTCACTTTGTTTGCCGCATTTGATTTATGACACTAGTGTTAATGTACAATTGATTTCTCCTATAGTCATATTTCATTGTGTATGTTTAATCTATATGTAGGTGCTAATAACGATAAATTTTCGTAGCCGTTCTATTTAATTAATATTTAAGACAATTGCACTAATTCACCTACACTATTGTTACTATTGACAGCATTCGGTGCCGATAGATTACTGTTATTCGTCGCATTGGCCGTCCGCTGCTGTTCGTCGTTGTTACAATTTTTCACATTGTTCCCGCTACTGCTGTTGTGGTGGAGGTTATTGTTGTTATTGTTATTATTCATTAAGCTCCTTTGGACAACAGGTGGACTGGGATTCCGTGAGGACACGGTAGATGCTGCCGTGGTTGTCGTGGTGGCTGTCGTGGTCGGGTCGATCAACAGCCGATGTTGAACTTTCGATGTGGTAAGTTGGGTCGTGTCAGAGTTGGTCCGAGTACGGGACCGCTTCGGCATGACACTATTTTCTAGTTTTAGCTGGGCATTTACCTCAGCTCGGGCGGCACAAGTGCAAGCCTTCATGAAACTTTTCTTAAAATTTTCACTAAGGTATGCATACAGGATGGGATTGATAGCTGAGTTGATGTAGCCTAAGCAGCCGACCAGCAGGAAGAGGATGATATCGAGCCGAGTACTACAGGACCCATCCGGAGAAGTAATTAGGGCTACCTGTGAAATCCAGTACGGTAACCAACAGAGGATATAGACGGTAATCACGGTGAGTACTAATTTCGTTACTTTTCGGTGTGAACGTCGTTTTCCGCGTGATTTGTTCGTCGTTTTGGGGCCTACGTTCCGAAGTTTACGTATCACAAGACAGTAGAATGTCATTATGAAGCACAGTGGCACAACAAATCCCAGAATCAGCGAGTACAGTGTGAACGTGTATCCGGGTATGTGTTCGTGCGATTCAGGCCACACGATTTGACACGAGTAGCTGTTGGGTTGCAGCTCGATGATGTCACCGTATATCATTATTGGTAGCATGATTAGAGCCGATGCTAGCCATGCCAGTGCTGAGACTACACGCGATACCAGTGGCGTCCGGTACTTGGGCGATGAGATATGATGACAAATGGCAATGTAGCGGTCAGCGGACATGATGAACAGAAATATTGACGAGGTAAATTGCGTAATCGATGTGCTGACCATGTATGCTTTGCACATTGCACCGCCAAAGACCCATCGTTTCATGTGCATCGTTGCTATCAGAAACGGAATACCGATCAGGAAGCACTCGTCCGCAATCGCCAGGTTCAGAATGTACATGTTGGTCACCGTCTGCATGTTAGAAAATCGCAGCACCACATAGATTACCAACGTATTGCCCATCACACCGACCAGACACACGACGGCGTACAGTATCATGAAGACAGTGTACGTGGTTGGCATATCCGTCGAGGGGCAGGTGAAGTTGGAACGAGGAAATGTGTCATTTCCTCCTGTGTCATCCGTTGCATCCACTGACAACTCGCTGACTGAGGAGTTCTCACCAAACAAACCACCCGCAGTCAGAAAGTACGTTAGATTACTACTATCCATGTTGTTACACACCTGCTTCAATTTCGATTTCGAATGAAAAGACTCAATTACCACACTTCGTAACGCTATCGAACATTTAACAAGTTTTCCATATAAAAAAATATAGCACCTCTCTGATCCACGGGCAAACTGATGCTTGCTACCGGCCGTCAACGACTCAAACGTAACTGAATGACTGTGAGTGTTTCCAACATTCCATAGCCAAATGGAGGGAGTGGTCAGTAGTGGCAGCAGGACAGGTGATGGGGAAACATTTCCCAGATGTCCTCCAAGCGGTTGTCCCACGACGGAGCGCGTTATTGGCTATCGAGAGGGTGTGTATCCTGCAAATAGACAGACACAGAGAATGAAAGGAACATTGTGAAAATCAGGTCAGAGGTGTTTGTTATTGAGTTTGAAAAAATATACCCATGAGCGGACGTTGCATATGTGCAATGCGTTGGAAGAGGGGATTTGCGCTGATACGGTGGGATTGTTTTGTAGTATATTGGAAAAAAAAAATTGTCGTATCAGAGAGGCTTCCAAGGTTTTAAGAACAATCCTAAACGTTGCATTTGTTTTATCTATTTCAGTGCTGGTCAACCCCCTTTTTTATCAGTGGCTGTATTTTTCGATGGTAATACCTTAACTTGCATTCTGTGTATCCTCCAGTTATTTCAGTCATTCAGTCGTAAATTTAAGTTTATGGCTTTAAAAAAAATGATATCCATTTGAAGATTATTCATAAAAGAGTTAAATTTGAAACGCTTGTCGAATGATCGTCTGCAGATTATTGTTGTAAAGCTAAATTTGTACTGCGTCTTGATTCCAAATTTGCCAAACGAGCTTCATTTTCGTCCTAACACACTGAAACGTCATTGGGTTAGCGCACGGATGGAGGCAGAATAAAATGGATTCGCTAGGAGCGCTCTTATTGTTTTCTTTTCAAACTTTGCGATCTTGTAGACTTTGTGTTGTAGCTATTGTTCTAAACAATCGTACCAAACGTATGAGTGATTCGTTCACGTTCACGTGGTATATTTGATGTTTTATGCTCGATATGATGGAACTAGGTGCTTATACTGAATTAGTTATCTACCCTACCTCAAACGCTTTTATCACATGCATGCTCTAGGGTGTACACTCAAAAAAAAAAAATCGATTCGTCATTGTTACGTGAATCACGTGGAGCATATCTTTTCACTTTTATGTAAAATTTAGCTATGAACGGGAAGTCCTTTTAAGGTCTCTAGTGATTTTCACATATGAAAAAAAAAATGAGTTCCTCACTCATAATGGTACACAATATGGTGGTATTGCAATGTGTATTTTGACGTAGGACTACGTCTGTAATTTCTATATGGGGGTACACTTTGTGAAAACCGAAAATGGAACATGTAACAAAATTATGAAAGATTATGAACGCTAATAACTCAGCTACCCCTGTACCAATTTCAATAATTTTATCACCAATCGATCACATATGTTTCCACGCCTCTGTTTAATTTAAGACTTTATCATTTTTTAAAATGTCACTATTGAAAATTGTACGAATGTGCAACTGTTGCTTTGATAATTAAACTATCACCGATTGCCTGTACAAAGCGATTTCCCTAACACAGATTTCAAAGTTGACACCCATCCGGTCTCACCAAACGGTGTTTATTCAATCACCGCGTGGTGAGTGGTGGTGTTCTCCAGTACACAAAGAAATGCTATCTGGAAGCAGCGAGCTGCATCCCACATGAGCATCCAAAGAAAGAAGACGAAGCCGCACCGCTATTGATCGGAATCAGTAGCTAATCGTGAGTTGCTGTGGGCCAACTATGTCAAGCGCGTCATACTAAAGAGTATAAACAGAGAGAACCCTGCTCAAATTCCTATTCCTTCACAAAACACAAGCTCCTGCTGCAGATAACAAATAAGATTTTTATATAAGACCACGTAGTTCTACGTCACCATTGCGTACAACCCCATAGGGCTGTCCCTTGTAGTTTTTACATGCCAGTTAAAACCTAGTTAATTCTGGGGCTTATTGAAAATTTTGTGTTGTAAGTATAATGGCTAAACATTTCATCACAGACAAATGTTATGGCACTGACGATAAGCAGTACGATGGATTGGAATGCGAGTTAAACTCCATTGTATCATACATTTCCCTTATCCTTCCCGAGTCCTCTTCCATTCGAATTAATTTCTTCTTCTGTTTGAATATTTGCCACAAATAAGATACAGTCGTATAAAGGAATACTGTAGTATCTTATGTCTTTGTTATTTTCATTTGAAATCACGAATACAACTTATTTGAGCAAGAATTAAGATCATTGAGAACCATCGAGGGAATCACATAACATCTACGTGATAAACCCGTGACCATCTCGCTCACTGAAATGAGCGCTTTCGTATGAGAATCACATAGCACTTACTTGAAAAGAGCGGCAGGAAAATCTATGTATGTTTTCACGTAGCATTGACGTCCAAATTATTCTGAGAGTATTAATCCTTTTCTACATTATACAATTCTAAACGTTTCAGGTATATTGCTTTACAATGTCTACGTCATCAGTGAAGTAAATGAACTAACTGGATGCATTGAAAATCATGGCCTTTTATTAAAGCATGCATTTTTCATATCACCTTCTACTTAGCGTAACGTTGTACATAAGACAGGAAAGACCATCATCCTTCCAAGTCCTTTGCGTTTTTCAAGTGAGTCCGATTTCTTAAGGTGATTCGCTGTGAGATCCTTATTCTTGCTACCACTTCGAAACTTTAAGTGCACAAATATCAGCTTCCACGACACGTACTACACTAAAACTGTTACTCGTTGCGGTGCAACATATATTCAGTAGCAATTTCAGGTGGAATGAGGCTCTAATTTGCGAGATTTGTGTAATTTAAACTTCGATGTGAAATTGCATTTATAGCCTACGTGGTGGCCATTTGTGGATTCTACAAGGAATCTCCTTAAGGTTCAATTTACTTTTAAGCATTTTTTAAAAATTGAAAAGCAGTTTTTTTCGACGCATTATTTTAGATTGCAAAAAGCTCGCGTCATTTTGTGTAAAATATCAAAAGGAATCGAATAGTGCGAGATTTTTGCAATCTGAAATAATACGTCGGAAAAAACTGCTTTTGAAATTTTCCAAAAAGCATCAAAGTAAATTGAACCTTAACCAGGGTTCTGCATTTTCGAAACAAAGAAAAAAAAATGAACTCTCCGCAGAATCGCTTCATTTCGAGCAATATAATTTTCGAATAATTCATTGTGTTTCTTGTTATCGAGTCAAGATGAACATTCCTCCTGTCAAACATGACATGGCTATTGCTTGTTTCGTTTGTCAACTTCATCAGTTCATTAAATTTGAAGCAAAGACTTGTTTCAATTGACGCAATGAATGACTCTAAAACTTCTTCCTTCGTATCTTCCACTTTTACCTCAATTCGGGGCTTCATAATATAGTATCCGCACAATATCGGTTGGCGATAGGGATCGCATCCGGATTATATAAAGTAATAAATTGTTATTTTATATTAAACGAAGATTATTTTAACCATTCTGGAGTCCAAGATGACGGCCATCGGGCTCAGGAAAAGTCTCAAATACTCTACAATATGGGTATTTTTGGAACGGAGGAGACGACGCGAAGATAAAGAAAATCAATGTCCAACGTCATTTAGGAATCCAAGGTGGCGGCCATCGGGCTCAAAAAAATGTCAAATGCCCTAAGATATGGGCACAGACAAACAGACGTAACTCTTCATTGTGTATCTTCGTTCATGCATTTAACGGTTGATTTGAATATTATCAGTTCCGCGAATTACTCGCCGCAGCGCTGGCATCGGATCACTTTGACGTTTCTATATATTCTATAGAACTTTTATGCTATATTGTTTACGAGTTAGTGAGCAAGCTTGTTTTCCGCGAGAAGCCAGATAGATGTCGTTACAGTGGTTATATGTTTTGAGATACTATGTTTTCAAGAACAAGGTTTTCAAAGAGTTACGTCTTTTTGTCTGTGATATGGATATTTTCGAAACGGGGAGGATGCGTAGATGGCAAAAATCGATCTACGACGCAATTATGGAGTCCAAGATTGTGGCCATTGGTTTTCATAAAACGTGTCAAATACCCTCAAAGATATGTGTATTTTCGGAACGGGGACGGCACGTAGATGCCAAAAATCGAAATTTGATGCCATTTTGAATTGCAAGACGGCGACCATCCGGTTTCAAGAAAAATGTCAAATACCCTAAGATATAAGTATTTTCGGAAAGGAGATGTCGCGTAGATGCCGAAAATCGATATCCGACGCCATTTTGGAATTCAATATGGCGGCCATTGGGTTTCGCAAGAAGGGTGAAATACCCTAAGATCTGGGTATTTTCGGAACGGAGGTATTTGACAGTTTCACATTTTTTGCTGAACCAAACGTTACTGGCTGGCAAATGAATGGGATAATGCGTACCACCGGTACTTCGCGTAGTTGTGAAGGTTATAAAATAGACCCGTAACGCAAGTGAAAGTGGTCCTTAGCCTCTTGCCCAGTAACTCCTATCCCTTCCTCCCCGCGGCGCCGGCTGGGGTACGAGTAACCTTAGGGAAGACCGGGTAGCCGGTGGGAACTTTGGTCGTATGCTGACAGGGAAGGGGGAGCCGCATCCTTTTCGGAGGATGTGGCTTACAAAACCCGAGCATCTGTTCTCCATGTTAGGGGCGGCTCAAACAGCGTCTGACTGGCATCCAGCGGTTGAATACGAAATGCTTCTCCCCGAAAGCTATACCCAAGATGGCAGTCCCATCATGGCGGATAGGAGACCTTAGGCCAACCACCTACTGTCTCCGAAACCTTCAAATTGTTACAGAAACCTATAGTGAAAGATTACGAACTGATTTTATGGCAACGACTTTTAGTGCTAAACAACGGACAATAATTGGAACATGGAATGTACTGACACTAAGCCAACTCGCCAGTGAGGCCCGCCGTATGAAGCTAGAAATACTGAGACTTAGTGAAGTCCGCTGGCCGAACTTTGGAGAACACAAGCTGCCTTCGGGACAGGTACTTTTATATTCTGGTATGCGATGCACTCCGCGACATCGTGGAGTTGGCTTTCTGCTTAGCGCCCAAGCACAGGCTGCGCTCATCAAGTGGGAACCTATCAATGAGGGAATAATCGTTGCCAGATTTAGAACACGGGTCCGAAACTTTACCACAATCCAACGTTATGCGCCAACCGATGCTGCCGAATTGCAGGACAAAGAGCACTTTTACAGTCAACTGAATGCTGTCGTGGATAAGACTCCAAGAGGTGATATCAAGATCTACATAGGCGACTTCAA